TATATATATATATATACAGTCCTTTAACACTTTCAAATTTTACTTGTCTTAATATTAACCCACTAAGAGATTTAGATCAAAATTCATATCATTGTTAGTACGAATTGTTTAATCCACCTTAATTATTAATTCATTATTATTTTTTCTTCCATATGTATGTATCTTAGTAACAAAAATGTTTATATCTGTTTCGTAGTGTTGATTGGCTAAAACTCTGAACCAATTGTAGAATTGAACTTATAAATCTAGGAATTTGCTTATCTCTGTTGATTTTGCTTGTTTTTGTAATTTAAACGGGTTCATTCCACCATTGTTTCTCATCTACAAAAGACTACTAACAATGGTGTATTTCCCAGTCTAATGTATGCTTAACAATATTCGCACTCAACTTTTATTTGTAGGTTACTAGTGTACGTTTATAAATACCTTGGACTCACCGCACGCGTTTATGTTACGATCAATGACTGAGCGAACAATGCTGACGTTAAAGATAGCAAATCGATTGGTGAGGTTGTGGATCTTCATCGGCTGAGTTATTCAGAACATGTATTACATATATGTTTAACCATTACCTAAGCCCGACGTGCGATTTTTTTTTGGTGTTGAAGTAGGCTAAATGAATGCTAGACATCACCAAAACAAAGTCCAAGTCATTGATGATTGAACCGAACCATGTATAGAGGTACAGATTACCTAGTTGAGACCCACGTGATTATCGTACTCAATCGTCGGAAACGTTGATTAACATGGTTTAGAATCAATCTCAGTTGAACAGTTGTATTCCTCCTTTATGTTCCTTTGAATCCTATAATTATTTTGTACTTTTTATTTCATGAACTATTTTCTTTGGATCATATTGTCATCTGCGTTTAATTTTTCCCTACTATTACTGATACTCTTACCATTTTTACTACTACAATGGAGTTTTTTTATCATTTCATCTCGCTTTATTCATATGATATGGCAACTTGAATCAGTGTAAATGATTCTATATTTATTATGAATAACCCATCAGTTCAATTAATTACCATCACTTAATTTTTCGTTCATTGTTATTCTCCTATGTGCAGGACTTTGTTCCATCTCTTACAACAGAATTCAACTCAGAAGAAATGAAGTAAGTTTTTTCTTGTACTTAAATTATAATTATAATCCGATAATTACTATTACTGTATTATGTCTTGAAATCAGTTGACCATTATCGTGTGCTAGATCACCAATCATAACCCTAGTTTTAATTTGGTTGGTTATTTACTCTATAGCTTTAGTGTCTATGATTCAGCTAATTGCACGTCCACTCAGAACTATTGGCACCGAGCTGACAGGTAGGTTCTCATTGACCCACTATTCTCTAGTTCTTTTTCATGCCCAGCCTTTGAATGCAGAATTCGCAACCAACTTCAACTATATTTATGCTTCAAACAAAAGTGGTTTATATACAGAGATACTGAACCTCATCAGACCATAAAATAAGAAAAATAAGATTATACATGAACAGACCGAAAGGTGGCTGTGAATGGGAGAAACTGTTAATAAATAAACTGGCATCAAAATAGGAATAGTGATTCGTATGACAGTAATATGTGAGTAATGAATAATGGATAATTATAATTCGAGAAACCAGTTTCAACTTCTACAATATTCTTCTTGTTACAGCGTACTAAAATTATATCTTTGATGTAAAAGTAGTCAATAAAAACACTTTCTCGTTTGATACGATATTACCCGTTATATGCAATCTTAAAAAAAAACAGAATTATCATTCTTATTCTATGGATACAAAAAACAATTTTTCGCTATCATTTTAAATATTCTGAACAGTATGGAAAAAACTATTTCAACTGCTTATGGTTTGAGGATAGCCATTCTTTCTCAGTGTTCAATGAAAGTACAATATCTAGCATTTTATCATTCGTCTAATGAATGAGTGTTGTATATAAGAGTTCGATATTCACTGAGGACTTAAGTGTAACTCAATTTAGCAGTGGAAAAGAAGCAAAAACAATGAGAGTTACAGCTTGAAATGAAAATCATACTCTTATAATTCATTGTTTACACTTTAAATGAATGAAAACATACTAGAGATCGTATATCTATATATTGAACATTGAAAGACAGATGTGCTATAAATTTATGGACACGTATCTTATCACCTGATTGTAGGTATCAAGGTTTAACTTGATAATTTCGAATAAATCGAGCATTAGATAGACTGTTATAAATAAATATAATATATTTGTAATATCTCAGTGAGCAGAAAAATGAGATATTCTGGCGTTTCGTGACTCAGTGTAAGCCACTTCTTCAGAGATTACTCACATAAACTCATATAATTTATATTGCGGATTGTGATTGACTGATTTCTAAGATATACTTTTACCAAAAAAGAAAATAGCCAACTCAATTTTAAGTTTTATTCAAAAACTGATTAATCCATCTCTATAAAAGGTATATATTTCACCAAATATTTCTATATTATTTTTCTTATCTTCATAGATTAACAGAATCTCAACAACCATATATTACTTCATTAATTAATAGTAATAATGATAATAATAATGATAATGTGGATATATTAAAACGTCAATGTGATTCTATTAGTCAAATTAATGAACAATTAACTACAACATTAATAAAATTACAACAAGATAGAATAGCATTGAAAATATTTCTCGAACGTTTAATGCCATTAGAAACAATTTAAGTGTTTATTTTCAATTTCAATAACAAGATCATTATCGTTTATCATTTATAAGTCACTAATCTTAATTGTTAGCTACATTGCTGACAATGTGATAACATATATACCAATGTACGCATATATATACTATTCTATTCAATAAAAGGAATCTATTCAACCTTGTTACTCTTTCTCCTTCTCAGTATTGCTTTATTTTTCTCTATACATATACACATTTATTATGATCATGTATTCTATAGTCTATTTTAATGATCAACTTTAAAGTGCCTAAGGTCGGTTGCATAATCTTTTTTCCTATCCTTTCATGTGTTAATTAAGTAATGGATACTATTTCTTCTTCAATACACATAACAAGTGTATTATTTACAATAATTAACAAGAAAGTAATCCTTTAAAAGCATTTTCCTTTCTGCACTTCTATTTTGTGCATCAGTTTGTTACATATTATGTGGTTGTATGTGTTTTTCTACGTAAATTTATCCTTATCTGGTTGAGATTATGTTTTAACTGAAAAATACAATCTATGCTTAATAATAAGATTAACTCATTTTCCTATTGTTACTTATGTATGCTTTTCATTAGGTATAATTCATTATCTATTTTGTTGCTGGGTTTTCTTCTCTTCAATTGTTTTCTCTTTAAATGATTGGTTTTTGGTTCTTTCATGTTATAGTCTATTCTTCTTTTGTTATTGTTTTAACTACACCATTTTGTTTTATTCTCGTGAAATTAAAAAAACAACTTGGAAAAAAAGAACAATTGTTTGCTTCTGTGCTAATGTATTATGGTATTGGAACTTGAACCAATACACATACATATATGCGCCAAGTTCAAATTCATTGTCCATTTTATTAAGTGAATACCACCGATTGTGTAGTCTATTGTCTTGTCTATTTATTTACTTGATTTCAAAAAAAGAAATTTGTTATGTGTAATTGTTATTCATGTTTTACGTTGTGCAGTCATCTGAAACCGATACGCGCGCTTCCTCATACTCAAACGAGACCTAGGAAGTGAGTGAAAAGATTAAAGGATAACCAGGAAGCTGCACTAGAGTAACCTAATTCAAATGTTCTCAACTCATTGATATATACATATATGTCCCTCAAATTTTTAAGTGTTATAGCTCAAAGCCACCAATCAGAAGCAGCGAATTATCGATCGGACCAAGGACGCGTAAAACACGTGCGAGCAGCCTAGAGTCCTGATTGGACCTGCTCTACACCTAGCCCAGTCAGTTAAGTTCAAAACACCAATCTCAGCCTCTGCAATATGAATCCTTATATTTCAAACATACTCAGTTTATATACCAATCAAACAGACCACAACGTAGCATAAAATAGAAAGTAACATTTGTACAAGAATTAGCCAGATATGGCTGTGAATGAGGGAGGCAGTGACTAATAGACAGCGCATAATTCAACAATGGTAAAACGTATAATAATGGTTCGTAGATCAAAATAAAGTTTATAATGAGAGGAATATGAATAGTTGAGTTATTTAACAATTATACGATAAAAATACATGCTTAGTACTGGTCCACAAAAGGATTCCAAAGTTGCCATTCATTATGCTTATTGGGACCTAACATTAAGCCAGAACTGGACAAATAGCATGAACGACTTCCGCTGACAACCGTCTTCTTTTAACTTCTCTCATCCACCATTTGACCTTGATCAAGGATGTGCGCGGAGGCATATCATGTGTCTGGACTCACCAAGCGTATCATAACAATAATTTTGTAGACTGTTATTGATAAAATCTTTTCTGCGTTGACGAAAATGATGTCATTTTGTGGATTCGACTTCTTTATATCAAGCATATACTAAATTCCTTTTAGATAAAGTACTAGACGCCAAACTGTTGACTGGTACCAAGTAATCTACATTCAGTGCTATATTGAATAAGGTTCCTGTCAGAATCGACTCATCGAACACAGAACTCATTGGAATTTTAGTAGGAAGCCATAATCGGTGGAGTTCAAACGTGTCGAGTGTGAGATAGTGGTTACCCACCGAAAACAGTAAATGGTGGTCACGCGATATCGTATATTGATTGAAGCTATACAAAAACGCCATTGAATCCCGATTCAATGGTCTACGGGGTAAACGTTTACGCGAAACCGGTACTGGGTTCGATCCCCGTCGACAAGTTTTTGCATGTTGAAGAGTCGCATATCGAACCGAAACCACTGTTTACAACCCTCAGGTTTTCAATGGATAGGTAGAGTAAGTGGGTTCATAATATCAATAATATCCAATCACTTCCACAAATCTCTATACAGAAAACTATGTAAGCATTTACAATAAACAAGCATCATATATTTACCTATATTTTTATCATCATCAACATCTTTTTAAAAAAAAAGGCAAATATAACTAGGAAAGCGATATTAGTAATTTACGTTGAATAAAAAAGTCAAAGGTTTGATAATACACTAAAAAGTCATTTATAAAAGGAGAATATGTTCATTTAAACAAAAGAAAAAAATCATAAGAAAGATTGGAATATAATCGTTGTACTGAAGTACGATGCTCCAATCGTAGTCATTGAATATTTGATCCAATACAATAGAATTAGATTCAGTAACAAGTGTATGTATACATATATGTATATTACAGTTTAATTAATAGATCTCATATAATATCATGTACAAAATATTTGTTGTATATTTCTAACTCATAATGATATATGTTACTGTGCAGTTGTCAACTTTGATCTAAACCTTTAACAGCTAATGCACCAGCCCATTGTTCAGAACCACAAGCTTTTCTCAAACGTAATTTGACTTTATTATTTTGTATCTATTAAAATGGAAATAAATATGAAAGATGTATCATATTAAATACGAACATATTAATGATATCATTAGGGATAACTGCTAAGGTGCTCATCTCATTGGTATATACATATATGTCCCTCAAATTTTTAAGTGTTATAGCCCAAAGTCACCAATCAGAGGCAGCGAATTATCGATCGGACCAAGGACGCGTAAAACACGTGCGAGCAGCCTAGAGTCTTGATTGGACCTGCTTTCCACCAAGCCCAGTCAGTTAAGTCCCAAACACCAATCTCAGCCTCTGCAATATGAATCCTTATGTTTCAAACATACTCAGTTTATATACCAATCAAACAGACCACAACGTAGCATAAAATAGAAAGTAACATTTGTACAAAATTTGGCTAAATGTGGCTGTGCATGAGGGAGGCAGTGACTAATAGACAGTGCATAATTCAACAATGATAAAACGTATAATAATGGTTCATAGGTCAAAATAAAGTTTATAGTGAGAGGAATATGAATAGTTGAGTTATTTAACAATTATACGATAAAAATACATGTTTAGTACTGGTCCATAAAAGGATTCCAAAGTTGCCATTCATTATGCTTATTGGGACCTAACATTAAGACACGATGAATTACAAGATTTAGAAGTTAATATTTGCTGGAAAGACCGAAAATATTCCTGGAGAAATGGCCCCGAATGGGTCCTGAAAATGCTGAAAAATATTTTATCCAGCCAGCATTAAATAGAAGGTCCTTAGAAGCATCTAGAAAGGGAAGAGTCACATTTCTGACTGGATGTTTACCTATCCTGCTACTATGTATACCAAGGTTCCAGAAACCCGATGCCATTTGAAATGTTATGAATACCCTAAATTTTCTGTACATTAACTAACCTTGGAGTAAAGCGTTTTACCATATTTCGTACCTTTTCTCTCATATTTAAGTCGTCGTGTAGATTTAGTCAGAGGTTAATAAAAGAGCTTAGTAAACCTATTGAAGTGTTCAGTCAGAAGATTTATCAATATTTTAACACAATAAACAACTATAAACACAAGAACCTGTTTCAACTAATGAGTTGTCATTCTTTCAAACACTTACATTAATTTTATCTACTAATCTCGTGTATTTACGTAATGTTATCAAATTTTTATGGTCTAATATCTGAGAAACTGAACAAGTACTACTTTAGTGGTTGGTATAGTCTCCTTTTCGCCTATGCTTTGGAGAAAGAAGAAATAACACACAAACTTCATCCATCAAATATACATAATATCTACCTATGGAAAGAGGTATCATAGCAGTAGGACTAATTGTAAATAGATAGAGATGAAGACGAATGATCGCTGATTATTACTTCTAAAACTTCATATATATATATATATATATATATATATATATATATATATATATATATATATATATCTTTGGATATTTACAAGTCAAATACTTATAAAAAGGAGGTGATTTATTACAATTTTGCATACTTAAACTATAGATTCGGAATATGATAACTATTCATTCTCATTGTTCAATAAAAGTGCAACATCCAGCATTTTCTCATTCGTCTAGTGAATGAGTGCTGTATATAAGAGTACAATATTCACTGAGGACTTCATTTCAATCATCTGACGTCATCTACATATCTCCACTTAAGTGTAACTCAATTTAGCAGTGCACAAGAAGCAAAAATAATGAGAGTTACAACTTGAAATGAAAATCATACTCTCATAATTCAGTGTTTACACTTTAAATGAATGAAGACATGCTAGATATAGTATGTATATATAATGAACATTGAAAAACAGATGTGCCATAAATTGATGGACACGTATTTTATTGTAGGTTTGACTTGATAATTTCGAATAAATCGAGCATTGGATACATTTTTATAAATAAATATAATATATTTCAATGGTTAAGATCATGAGTCATTTGAAGCTAGACCACCATGGAAAACCTGGACGGCCGTTTCGTCTTATTGTGAGACTCTTCAGCAGTGCCCATCCACGACCCCGCCTCGCGGGATTCGAACCCAGGAACTACTTGGCTTGAAATTACTATAATATCCACAAACCCCCTTTCTGATATGAATCAACATATGCTCACTAGTGACTGGCTTCAAGAGGTATATCCTGAAGTTCTAATGAGTAGTGACCAGTGGAGTTCAGTCAGGTCTGTTGAGAGATAGTAACTCACTGAAGACAGTGGTGGATGTTTCGCTCAATTTCGTGGACTGGTTGAAGTTAGACAATAACAGCGTTGAATGCTGGCTGGCTCAGTTGTCTAGTGGTTAAGCGCCCGCGCGCGAAACCAGTAAGCCGTGGGTTCGAATCCCGCGGGGCCAGGTCGTGGGTGCGCACTACTGAGAAGTCCCACAATGGAAAGAAACGACCGTCCAGTGCTTCCAGGTTTTCCATGGTGGTTTAGCTTCAAATGGCTCATGATCTTAACCACTGAAGTTACTATAATATCCACAAAACCCATCTGAAAATATTTTTTTTAATATCTCAATGAGTAGAAAAATGAGATATTCTGACGTTTCGTGACTCAATGTAAGCCAATTCTTCATAAGAGTGGATTGCTCATTTATAAGATACACTTTTACCAAAAAGGAAAACAACCACTTTAAATAAATGAAAACATACTAGATATTGTATATATATAATGAACATTGGAAAATGGATGCGTTACAAATTTATGGGCAAGTATCCTATCTTCAAAATTCTTTACTGTATAATCAAACATAGAGTATTTTGACTAGAGAAAATATTACTATTACATTAATACATTCATTAAACTTTTAATAAAGAACACATTCCATGCATAAAAAACTCACTTTAAACGTACAAAATGTTGGTATAATTTTCGATGGAAATTGACGTACAGTATATTCATAAGTATAATTAGGATTAGTTAATTCGCATAGAACATTTAATGAACTAAATGAATAAATAAATAAATAATGTAAATAAACTATAGAACACAATACTAAAAGAAAATATGATTATTAAAATCATACTCACTAGTAAAACGATGTTATAATCATTGTTAAAATTATAGGGATAGTAATAATGCAACTTAAATGTAGGGTAAGGGACGAGACCGATGTGCAGTGAGCCAAAGTTTGCAGTGGTGATCTAATTTAGACCAGTTCATGACTTTAATGAAATACTTATTAATACATCAGATTTATATATTCGGTTATAAGTCACATGTTTAGTGTGAGCGTTAGTGATATGAACAGGTTGCCCAAACTAAAGTATGTAGATTGGGATTCGGACACCTATGGCCACCCTATACTTTTAATCCTTAAAATCATTGATCTACGATTACCATTATTGTGATTATGGTTAAAATTTCATTAAACAATAATAATAATAAACTAAGGATAGATAATATTGAAGTGAATAATAAGCAGATGCTAACTTACTATTCACCAAGCTCCACTTTTAATAAACCATTGCCTAATTGTTGACTAATACTTGCAGATGTTGTATTGAAAGAATCACTGTGAAAATTCCCTGAACAACCGGGTTTAATAAGTCCACAAAATCCTCGACTAGGTGCCTGTAAACCTTGCATAATCAATGTAACTTGTACATCATTGGCATTTAATTCACTTGCTTCAATATATGGTTGTTTAGCCTTGGAAAACAGTAGTGAAAATTTAGAAGCATAAGATTACAATAAACACAGTAAAGATAAATTTAGCGAAAGCGATCATCTTTTTTTGAAGAGCACCAAAAGAAAACATTCTATAACACCACAAACAATTAGGCGACAAATTGTAAGACGGGGAAGATTGAGGGGCGGACAAATAAACACACACAATGCAGAATATGGCACAACAAATCAGGAATCAGGAGATAAAAAGTATGGAATCTCATACTGAGTATAACATTTACAGGAAGGTACCAAGTAGATATATCTACGCCAATGTGAATACGTTTTGTTTATTCGACCGTACATCGTAATTATTAGTAGTATAAAATAGGTGAATAAGAATAACAACTGTTTAGGTGAATGCTTTCCGTAGTACTGTGTTCAGTGAGCTGTATAGTTTAATTGCAGAGGTCTCATTGTTATTCCGGACAATATCGTCACCACCTACTTCATGTAGAAGTGAGTATTTTAGTAATTCCACAAGTATTATATTAATTCGTTCTGACCGGCCTTGTTTGTAATTTGTAGTCAACATGAATCTAAGAACAAATAAAGACAAACAATCATGAATCAGGTCATCAGAATGCACTGATATAGCATTTGTGGAATAACTGATGAGCTCACTCCTAAATGAAATGGAGGCTGATGTTGTTGTCAAGATCGACAATGAAACCTCTAAAACTAAACTGCTTAACTTCGGGAACACAATGCTGCTAATTAATTTTTTTTCGCTCTGAAGGTTCAAAGCAGAAATGTAAGCAGAGAAAACCTAGACCATGAACATCAGGAACTTCAAATCTAGTAATTGGGTAAATAGGAATACAGTCACACCGATTAAAAGACCAACAATAAATTGAAACATTGATCATTTACAATTATATGCTACTACTTTCACTACTTTTGTTTAATGATGATAACTTACAGTGAAAATATCTAGAGAGAAAATAAATGATTCACACAAAAATAATCCATTCACATATTAAAATTAATAATCGTTGTTCATGAGATAAAACAGTCAGAGAAAATTAACTAAATTCTAACTAGATGACTTAACCAAGATTAAGTAGATTGGGGTTCAACTCGGAAACCCGTTCGATAAAAAGGCTGCTCTATAAAAGTACTTCAAAGTTTAACCGTTTATGAAGAAAATAATCAATATGGAACACAATAATAATGTGAGGATCAATCGTCAATAGTCAAAAATTTATTAGTAAGGGTTTGAAATGAGCATCCTGGATTTCATTGCTACCTACAATCCATATATCCTGATAAGACATGGCTATACTGATGCAGTTCACACAAGATGTACGTACACGAACGAAGACTGATTAAAAATTTCGTAACAATGGAATAATTTGAACCGTTACAAATAATGGTATAAACATAGCATCGATTGAACAAGTTAACGGGAATTTGGACTAAAAAGCTTAGCGGATAATGAGTTGGCATTTGAAGTGAAAGGTACCGGGTTCGAATCTCAATGTGAACATCTAGTGAGACAGAGGTACATTTCAGTGACGTCTCCTTAGTGCAACAAAACGCACATGCTTAATTTTATCGATAGCCACAATCTATCTATTCCAAAAAAATAATTCACTCTTAGTAAGAAAGTTATTTTCATCTCAAAATGTATGATTAATAGTTAAATCAGTCACTGGTTCGAACCATGCCTCAATTATATACAAAATATCTGACTACTCTTAGCCGAATACATAAATTCACAGCATTTTTTAAATAAGATCTATCATAACAGTGGTCATATTATTATGTATATAAACGAAGAATCGTTGGCGGCTTGCTTGAATATCTTGACTACCTATTCCTATCATTTAGACATTTCAACAAGTTATTTGTCATTTGTTTGTTAACAACATTTCATTATACAAGTTACAAAAAAGTACAATCAGAGACATTGTGTTGGCTAGCAGCATGCATCCAGAAAAAATATATACTTTATTCAGACATCGATACCTGAACTGTTAACTATCTAATTGGCGATCACTCAATATTTATTGTCAGAATCGATCAAGAAATAAGAAATAGAAACTTGTTAAAATACTTTGTTCCGAGAATTCTATATTGTACCAAAAATATAATATTCAATAAACCCGTTCATAATTATTATTATTTTTGTTACACAAATTACTTATAAGACAGTCATTTAAATTAGTCAACTTATACATTAAGTGATTGTAACATAATGAAATTGTTAATTAATAAAATAGATCAACGAATTAGAATAGTATAAATGGACTAATGAAAGTAGACTGGCTTAACACAGTTTTAGATTCTTTCTTTTTTTTGATGGAGCTTTATGAAGATTAGGTTACTTTCTATATGATGCTTGTTACGGATTGATATCAAATGGAATGTTAATAAAAATCCGGGTTGAATATAACAGTTGTTTCATCCTCGTATGGCATTCATCAGTAATGCGAAGTCCAAAGAGCACTGGGTTAGATCCCTAGTGCATTCACTTGTGTTAAGACAATAAAACAACTGTTGAATCCACATTAATTTTTAATAGTACTCAAATTCATGTTGAAACGTAGAAAAAAAATGTTTGCAACTAACCATTAAACAAACTCACAACACTTGATCTGACAGTTTCAAACTAGTACACCAATCAACCTGATATCAAACTGTGAAGACTACAATTTATACATAGATATTCTATCAGTGAATCTATATAGAGTTCAAACAAATTACCACTGTGTACGAAATTGAATTTCTTCTAATCTTCATTTTACAGGTGAATAAGAAAATTTACTCTTATTTGCGCGAATCTATCTACTAGGTCAGTCACATTTTGTACAATATAAATTTTTATTCTAAAGAACTAAATCTAACACAGAGTAGTTAATTTACCAATCTGAAAATACATAGTTTCTATTTGTATTATAACAGATAAAGGACTCCGCGATGTCAGATAACTAATGTAACTCAATAAAGTGATTAAGCATACAACTGTACTCAATCACTAGAAATAAAATAGGCACAAAAAAGTTAGAACCTGAAGTTCATTTACTTTCAAATCAGATTTATTTTAATTGCTAAACAAACTCTCCCCTGATTAGACATAATAAGGTTGGTATTTGTCTGTTAAAAATGAAAAATAGAATCTAAATATCGAAATAAGTAGTTTCACCAACAAGTTTTTATTATAGTCAGAGAGTGGCTAGCAGTGAACCCTAGGAAATGTTTCATCCTATCTATAGCTCTTCAGCTGAATTCATCTGTGTCTCAGTGCTGATGCTTACACCGAAACTTTGACCTAGTGACATTTGGTTGAGCCCAGATAGTCGTTGACCTGTAAGACTGAGGTGTGCGCTACATATGCTGACAGACATAAGCAGTACGTAGTAGGAATCGGAAATAGAATGCTCACCAGAAAATTGAAATGAGAAGGAAACGAAGAGCAATCGGAACGATAACATCGGAAGTATGGTGAAGTATGTAAGATTAATAAAGGAAGATATGCAAATGTATTCTGTTTATGATTTTCATGTTTTATAAGGCCACAATTTGATTTTGCATAAAAAATAAGTTGGTTTTCCCTACCGATTCTTCGTTCACTATGCAACCAGTATAGATTTTATTCGCAAGGTTTATATTTTCCCACTGATTTTAAGGCTTCTAGACGCACACACAGAAAAAATATCAGACTCATTCACCAGGTACTTGGTTATAAGTCACACTTCAATTAATGATACTGACCGGTTGCCTGAACTGACGTAGGTGGAGCAGTGGCGTTCAAACCTGAGAAGCTGAACATCTTATCCACTAAGCTACCGCTCCACATATATCTCAACAGAAACTGATCAATGATAGTCTTAGATATCAAAAGCGGGAAAATAAAAACCTTTACAAATAAAATCTCATCAACAGTTTTCGTACCCGACACCAATTACTTCACCCAACTTACTGATTACAAGAAGACATCAGAAAGCATCAAAGATTAAATAAAATCCAAATAAAACAACTGAGAATGGGAGAGTATGTGTGTGTGTGTGTGAAACAGTCAACACCAGCAACGACAACGAACAAAGTTAATGATACAAGCGAACTACACTCAAAAAGGCATAAAATCAAGAAGTCACGAAAATTTCGTTGCCTCTTTTCTTTACAATAACGAATAATTGACTTTATTTCTCAAACGAATTATTACTATTAAATGCAATAAATTTACAATTCTGAATTTTACATACACATAAACATAAATACAAAATAAATACATTACAATGTTAATTGAATCTTATCCATCTTTTGTTTCTCTTTAGCATCATAGACATTCTTGTTTATCACAACCAGTTAGAGAAGAAGTAAATCAATAATCAGTCGAGTAAGATCACTGTAACTTTATTATACATGACATTCCATACTTCGATATGAATTTCTTCTTTTCACATATACATTAAATATTCAGTAATTTTATGTAATGAATTCTAGAGAGATTGTTGAATCCCGGAATATTTGTTTGAATTAGATTTGGATGTACACGAAGTTGATAATTAAGTATAGTTGGTGTTGTATGATAATTCACGTTAGCAGTATATGATGAAGTATTTGTCAATGATAGATTATGGTTATTGTCAGGAATACCAGTTGACAGTAGAAATCTCCATGGTTGTTCAGGATTCATAAGATCAGAAGATAGAAACAAACCACATGGTTTAACTCTTCCATAACATCTATTATCGATGTTCATGATTGATTTTCCATCGTCATGATATACATGTGTAAACATGTCATTTGATACATTAAATGTTGATATATTCTGTTGGTAAACATCTATTGAACCATTGATTTGAATTATTCCGATATATTTGGAAGTATTAGGAATATTTTCAGTTGATGTTTCTGGATAATTATGCGTAAGGATTTGAACAATCTGTGTGAGGTGGGATAAGGAAAAAATAACAAATTGAATTTATGAAAACAAAATGTTATGAAAACGAATATGCCAAGAGGAAATTTTGACCCGATCTATGGTGATTCCTCAATTAAAGGATAAGTTATCGGGTCCTACCACATTTATGTGTATCTATAAATCCAGCTGCTCCTGTGGAGAAAGCCATATTGGGTGCACTACCAAACAACTAAGCCAACGAGTTAATGAACATCCCTCTTCGAGGTTAGGAAAGGGTATTGTCAAAACAATACACAGCTTTGTTCTATAACACTTGATAAATAGCGGTCATGCAGTGGACAAAAATAAACCATTTTAAGTTATTTATCGTATTTTTAATGGGGTTCGATCTTGTCTCTTACACATGACAGAAGTTATAGGAATTTGAGCCAACAATCTAAGTCTTTGTATTTGTAAGAAATTTGTAACACCTTGGCCTTAACAAATGATTTTATTTATTATTATTCTCTATACTCTTTCTTCGTTTGTTTTTCTTTACCCCCTCCCACCTATTTTTCCCCTAGATATACGCTTCATTGCCCAATTATCTGAACACTTCTCATTACATAATCTTATAATCTTTTATGAAAGTTATTTCAGTGTCTATATTTTTCTAATCATTGACCTATTTCCCATTACGTAACATTGATTCAAGCGTTTATTATTCTTATCATAGCTAGTACGCCTGTCACCATACTATCAATTTGTAATCTTCAATTATTATGTTTATTTATGTAATTTATTCCACTGTGATCATTAACTCATAAACTACCTTGATTGGTTTAATAATTTCGTATATGCATATAAATATTACTGTATATTAGAGTAAAGCCTGATGAGGATCTAATCGAAAACAATATTGTTCGCTTATATACGTTGTTCTAATTTACTGTAGGTATATACACGAAGATGAGAACCAATTTTTTGAACGGTATGTTTCTAATCATCAATGTTAACAGTCAGTCAGTTACAAGCAACATATAACGAGGGAGAGATGTGCATTAGTGCAAGTTACCAAACTATTAAAGCACGGTGGAATGGGATTATCAACACAAGTTTCAGAGTAATGAAAGTGGTAATATAGTGACCGAAGATTCATTTACGTAAACCAATATAATATTTTATGCAAAATTGCGCAGTAACCTTGTAAAATATGAAAATCATCACAGATTAAATGAACCATTTGCACATATTCCTTCAGTAACTCTTTCCATGCTCCATCGTTCTTAATTAATAAATGCACCTCAAACCAACTTCATGGATTGATCCTATGTTTTGATTTGATCATCTCTAGCTTTTTTTCAACGTGCTTACATACATCACTGAAACATTCCCTAAAGAGATAGATAGTGGTTGGGCATACGTAATACATATATATACGTTTGAGTCCTGAAACTTATTTAGTTCGAACAACTGGATAGTGTCTCATAGATTGGTAGTATATAATTTATAAATATTTAGTTTGATAAGCGTACATTTTTCCACACAAAGTGAGCTAACTGGAATTCAACAATCAGATTGGTATATATTTTACTTACATAATTGACTAATAACATAACCATAAAAGACTTAAATGTAATGAATTCAATCTGACAACTAATTAGGAGTGTGAATTATCTGAGAATTCCAAGGTTCCCACCCCAAAGTTATGCAATATCTATAACTTCATTAGGAGGTGAATCAAACTCAGCATTCATTGGTTCCAATTTCTTTTTTTAATTTATGACGACCACATTAAATGATACCCGTGTTAATTAGCTTCAACGACTCAACATTTTACAGCTGGTGAAGTAGTAGGTGTACATTATTGATGAGTTCAAACTACGGTGGAATGAGTGTTTAATGAGTGATCTCTGGACTTCAATAGTTCTTCAACTAAAGCTATTCTGTAACAACAACTAACTCGAAATACAAAAATTTAGATTAAAATATAGGCTTATTAAATATGCATACTTGTTTACATCTATGTGAGGACGATTTGAAAGTTTCATTTGTATTTGTAACATCTACATTTGTTAGTTCCATTTTAGGATTGCGAATATCATAAACCCATAAATGACCTTCGTAAGTTCCCAATAGCAAATGATTTGTTGAAAACCAACTAAGTGCTCTTTAAATTAAAATAATAAAACACATATACATATAATTGTAAATAAAACTGATTTAAAGCACAAAGGAATAAGTTTAGAAAATCAAGTAAACTTAACAAATACAATCACAAAAGACTGAGATCAGTATTATTATTAATAATCGTTTGAAATAACTTGTTCGTGATGTTTATGAACGAAATTTGGTCAGTCTCTGTTAGGACTTGTGCATCCAATGCGGATCGCTTCGACAAAGCTATTATATCATAAGTTTTTATTGAGTAGATAGATTCTTTTTAGCAGTAAAATCCAAGACGCTCTTTTGTTCTTACATGGAATTCACTGGCTGCATAAAGATGTATTCTACTATTGACGTTTACCTCGGGACTCGAATTTAAGGCTCTCGAATTCAAACATATATATATATATATATATATATATATATATATATATATATATATATATATATATATATATATATATATATATGAGCTTCTAAGACCAGACAGACGGTTCTAAATTTTATTTCATTGTTACCAAGAGTTTGAATTATGTCGTTGTTGATAATCAGGAATGACATTTGACCAGTTTCTGTTCCTAGGTTTTCAATGGTTGGCTAACAAAAATCAGACAGTGATTTGAAACTTCCATGTATTGAGTGAGTTGATGCTCTCAGTGGGATTAGAACCAACGTCACTTATTTTTATAGTTCAAGGCGTTATCACTGATTCCCAACTGACCTCCTGAAAGACAGAAATACTTACACTTATCAACCACTGAATAGTAGTCGATCTTGTGTTTGTCTAATCATTCGTGCTATTCAAAATCAATCGATTCATTTGTAGTATGGTCATCAGTCTAAGTGAAGATTTCGCGTGTACTATCTTTCGATGTAAAATGGTTGAAAGTAGTTAGAAGGAAACTCTCCTGTATCAAATTGCGAGAAACTTAGGCTCTTGATTTTATGTAGACTATCATATGACCCTTCCAACAAAGTATCATCTTCGATCCTTCCATTAAAATATTACTTTAAAAATACTCATCTTTTCTCAACACTTATCATAATTGAAGTAAGATAAAAACAACGAGAGAATAATACACACATTAAAACTCACGTTGGTAAATCATGTGTAATATTTGAACAGTCACTTGACTGAATTACAATTGGATTAGATACATCATTGACACGAATATCCCATAAACAAATTTTTCGTTTCACATCTAATGGATTTAAAGTTGACAATAAAAAATTTTCACAATTATTTTGATGATTTATCATGTTATTAGTATTATTAGTAGATAGTAAAGAAATATCTGGAGTGAAAGCGGAACCGTTAACAGGCCATGTTGTAGAATTGATAGACCATGATTTAATAGGCATTAAAGATGGACAATCCCATAACTAATTTGAAATGAATAAAACAACAATGAAAATCGAACAATTTAATATTGAATGAAAAATAAGAATGAAGAGGAAAAACAATTATGTTCTATGTAAGCAAAGTGAAGATTAAATAGCAATTAAGTAATTAGGATAACATTCGTGTAATTTTCCATTGTTAGATTCAGACATTTTCAATTGAAAATTATATCTACTAGGTTGACAACTAGGTCAACAAGAACCAATCAACATGGAGGTCTACAGGACAAGCTGTGAACCACATGTTGAGAAATTCGAACACTTCACTTCTACCTGAAGTGTGTGCTGATGATGTCGTTCAGAAGAACGATGAAAGCTCAACGATCGAACCATCCAGATCAGAGAACAAAACTCCATCAAAATGAGTCCATCTGCCTTATTGTGAATGATTCTGAAACATCTTATCCAAAGTCTCGAAACCACTACTGATAGCGTTTGCTTTCTTTATTTTTAAACTTCAAAGTAAAGCATTAATGGTACTACTTTCTTTATGGTTCATTAGAGTTCAAGATTTGCAGACTAATGGAAATCGATGTCAGCTATGAAATCACTAGTACAAACGTGTCCTGTTAAGACTTGCTAAAAACACACAATCAACAATGATAATTTCATTTATCGTATGTTAAACGATTATAGCTGTTCATCTCGGTCATTGTACAATAGAACTTAGTTTACTGTATACGAAAGCCAAGTCATTTACTCATTAATTAAACAAACGAAACCTTAAAAGTAATTTTAGAATGAGAAAACTTTCTATCAGAAACTTTTGAAGTTGGATAGACCTTACCAATACTTTACCTAAACTCATTTACTAAGTACAAGTTTATGAATATAGTTGACCGGATAATGAGGTACAACACCTCCCCTCTCCACCTTGCCAAAATCTAATTAGATAGAACAATGTTCAATCCTGTGACCTTTATGACCAAATGAAATCTTAACTATCATATACTTTGAACAGGTCCAAGGAGATATACACACATTAGTACATTTTAGACCAATTAACATTAATGAACAAATCAAGAAACGAAGAAATTCTTATGTAAAATCAAATGCTTTTTACAAATTATATCATTATTTAAATTATTGAAATATACATTATTCGCTTTCAACTCTTGTTCTAATTTGGAAAAATGTGAGTAAAGTGTTGGGATTAAAGAATAATAAACAATAAAAGAGCATAACAGATTCTATAGTTTAAAGCCACATAATTTCACATAGCTGATTAATTACCTCTTTCATTAAGCTTATATGAAATATAACACAATTGTGAGATAGGAACTCACTGAAGACAATGGTGTACGGTAGCGCAACTTCGTGGATTGGTTGAAGTTAGACATTAACACCGTTGGATGCCGGCTCAGTGGTCTAGTGGTTAAGTGCTCGCGTGCGAAGCCAGTAGGTCCTGGGTTCGAGCCCCGAGTGGTGCGGGATCATGGATGCGCACTGCTGAGGAGTCCCATACTAGGAAGAAACGGCCGTCCAGTGTTTCCAGGTTTTTAATGGTAGTCTAGCTTCAACTGACTCATGATTTCAATCTGTGAAAATTTCTAAAAATCTCCACAAAACACATTCTGATAATATAAATATATATCAGATCTTGATACTATTTAATGATTGAGTAATAGATTTCTTAAATTCAAAGTAGAGCTATGTAAACAGAGGTTTATTGTACAATGAATTGTTTAAAAGAGCTTATCAAATCTATGTAAACACATAGACAAGAATAATAATTTACTCTGTGTTCAAGTTTACTTTTCTGTAAAATAGTCTTAAATGTGTATTAAAATACCTATGTTTTATTTGTACAAGATAGTTTAGTTGGTGGGTGAGTGAATGTAATCTAGAAGTCACGTAGTTAAAATAACTAAATATTTGATTCATTCATTAATACAGATAATATCAACAGTACCATTTTCTTAATCGCACTAGTTCACTCTCATTTTTATTTTGTATATTGTGTGAGATTTACATATATACATATATGTATGTGTACCAACTAATTATTTAGTTTAACCCGTATTTTAGCAAAGTAAACACGTAAAACTTGACAGAAACACAATCAATAACAAACTCATTTTGTTCTAAGAAGAGAGATAGTGAAAATTATGAACAGCAAGTATATAGTTATATTGTTTCGGTTCATTTAAAAGTTAAAGTATAGGACATTATTGTTAGATAAGATGACAAGGTGTTTTACCAGTTTTCATGAGCTGCAGTTAAAAACAAGTTTGTCTTCCTAAACCTTGACTCCAATGGTGATAAAATAACTAGAAAGATTGATATAGGACTAAATGTTATGTCAAAAAGAAGGTATTCAGCCGTTAAACTGATCTCTCTGTATCAAACAAATTGTTCATTGAGACAGTCAAATGTGGACAAATTCTCATCGTATGTTACATTCGTATCTACTAGTTTATATAAATATATTGCAAGAACAGAGAAGAAGATTAGTGTCCGCATGTTTGGGCACATTCTACAGAAGCTTAGATTGAAAGGAAAGAATGCTTTCAGCAATGAGACTACTTTTCACTTGTTTGACAGTGAACACGGTTGGTTTATCACAGTGTTTCAAGATAATTAGTAAACAAAGGATGTTGAATTTACTATCTTTTATTGAAACAAATGCTACAAGAAGAAACCAAATCTATGCAACCGAAAAACACGCTCAATAACCTCGCCCTTCCAGTGACCTTAATCAAAAATGTTCATTACGTAATTGTTCTATGACACTAGTTAAACGGCGTTACAAAATAAAGTGAATTTATGTTATTCTTTTACATTTATTATTTTTGCCTTATTTAAATGATCTTACTGAATTCGCAGATATAATTTCACATAACGAGCTAGTTACACCTATATAACTATCAAAAGCTAAAGTGTCATGAAGAACTGTTTTATTTGAATTGAATACATTTGCTAACGAACCAATCAGATTTAAGATAGCAGCTATTTGAACTTTTACCTGATATCCAAATCTACATGACGAATACATTGTATTTTATCAAAGGGTATGTAAAATATATATATCTTTATTTATTACGATGCTCAAAAATTGATAAACATGGGATGACTAAAGAATAGAGGCCATGATTCATTGATTTTTAAAGGTAGCTTAAAGGTTTTTGATAATCGAAAATCAAAGAATTAGCTGTATAAGTATTTATCCATAAGGCTTTTCTTCACTTAATCCCTAACAATTACTTGAAACTCGTAATTCTAAATTATAACACGAACTCCTAATATTAACCCTAAACTCCTTAGGTCTTTGAATCACAAATTATTCGTTTACATGTTATAAGAAAGAAATATACAATTCTGTGTTCGAAAGTAGTCAGTTAGCAGGGTAGAATTTGATGAGTACTAAAGGACTAGACAAATAAAATATTGGTTGCTACTCAGTGGTCAATCAATTTTAAACAACTCAGTCCTATAGAATGCTAGCCACGAACCTCAATAGTTCAGTAGTGACATTTCTTGGAGTGGGGCTGAATAATACGAGTTCGAAGCCTCTGGGGAGCATCAGTTCCCTCAAGGTCGCACGTACGCCTTACTAATGAGTACCAACTAGCACGAAACAAAGATTCCATGGTTTCGTGACAAAGATTAACCCAGTAGTAGTCACATTACAACTCAATCGATAAGGTTCGATCAGCATAGAAAGAATAAGACAAACAAGACATAACTTACACTACTCAGTGACTAGTCGATGTTAGATGAAATGTAAGGTCAATATATTTTATAACCGTGAGTATGCAACAAAACATAATTCGAGCAATAAAAACAGTATGACGGACTTTAATTACAATACCTTCCTATTTGTTTTAAAAATTATGACTGACAAATGACAAAATGGATAAGCAATGAGAAATTACAAACAACAACAGCAAGGTGGGGTTGATAGCACTCCAAGCGACTTGGAAACTTACTCCTCCAAACCTAGCTATTTTAATACAGAGTGGACTATGGTAATGCAAGTAACGATAAGAAAACTGTCAACAACAACAACAACAACAACAACAACAACAGCAATGACCAATCAAGATCAACAGAACAAGTTGTAACTCAAGTGTGAAGAAAGCCTTATAGCTCACTTTTAACTGAAGTTTGTGCTGATAAAGACGTTGCATAGAAAGACAGTAACACCATTAGATGCCGGCTCAGTGGTCCAGTAGGTTAAGCGTTCGTGCGCGAGACTGGAGGCCCTGGGTTTGAATCCCGAGAGCGGGATCGTGGATGCGCGCTGCTGAGAAGTCCCACAATTGGACGAAACGGCCGTCCAGTGCTTCCAGGTTTTTAATGGTAGTCTAAAATCAATCGGTTCGTGATCTCAATCAAAAGCTTTAAAGTTAAGCCACCTAGCTCAGAGAATGTAGCTCTATCAAAAATCCTCTTTCAGAGAAACATATCTTGTTCATCATCTCTTACAAGAGAATAGAATATTTTAAATCTGGTAAAGATTTTCAAAAGATAATTAATGTGCATCAACTTACTTTTACACATCCAGCTACATCTAATGTTATGATATGAGGATTCGTAGATCCTGAGGTCTGAGATGATATTACTTTCTCCAACGGCCAATCATGATATGTAGCAGAGTTGATCGTTAATGGCTAGTGAGAAATAGATGGCAACGTAAAGTACAAAGGAATTACGATTAAAGGACAAATAATAATTGCAATTTTAATTTTTTATAGAAATCATACGACGGGAGTGGTCAGAAGTCATTTTTCTTATAGAGACAATAGAAAATTGACTAAACTGCTCACTTATTTTACTAAGCATGGGATTTAAGTAACAACTAACTAGTTTGGTTTCATGCCAATTATTACACACAAACTGATTATAACTTGCAGCCCAATAAAACTTTGAGTTGATTACCTTAGATCATTTTTATTTTTTTCATAGACATAATAGAGACAAAAGATTTTTTCTTCGACTTTTTATTAGTCGACTGGAATAAGTTTTTCGATTCCGTGCCCTAACCCCTCCTCAAATGATGGATTGTTGACTGATAAAGGCCTATTGGTTCTATTGGCCTAAAATTAGTCATAGTGGTGCAGATGCACCAACATTTTGTCTTTACTAGTCAGGAGGAATAGCTCAGTGGTTTTAGTGTTCGATTTACAATCTCAATTATCCACAACACCGAACTCCACTACACCTATCTAGATCTCGGCGAATGGTTAGTATCACTATCACTCAAACTTAGAGCGCAGTTCAAATCCAAGCCCATGAATTCGGCAAATGAGTTAGTAAATAGACTAATCAGTCGCTGTGTATTAACCGATGTCGTGTTTCTAGTGCAAACCAAATTGAATCGAAATTTTAAATACTGTCACTAATTCAAGTAATATGGAATCTTTAATTTTATTTAAATCATAAACGCAAGATTACTTTACACCTATTCACCCCCGCTTTTACTTGTTTTTTAGGCTCCCTTTATCTCTTTTATTAAGAATGTATTATTGCGATTATTTGTAATTCTTCTATTTTTTATCAGGTGTGGCAGATCGAAGCAACATATTTCCGCCAAGTCTATATTTGTTTGTTTTATATTTTCAATGTCGAATATTGTCAACGAAGTAAATGAAGTCATTTTTATAACTAACAAACTCGGATCTATGGTATAAATTTCAAACAAGTCAAATGTTTACTCTACAAAAACATGACGATTTACTTATATTGTACAAACACTGTGATAACATATCTACTTTGTATAGTTAGCATGTATTCTACTTTACTTAAAATAAACTTTGAATCGAATTAAATAGTTCTCCAAATAATTGGATATGAGCCACACTCTGGGTAAGGGTTAGTGATACAACCCGGCTGTCCAGATAAGTAGAGTTAGGCTCAAACCTTGAACTTGGTGGTTGAGAGTAGAAAGTCTTAACCGCAAAGCCATCACCTTACTTTTATTCATCCAATAGTCTAACGAAAGGAAAATAAATATTTCGACTTTATATATAATTAACAAAAAATAGATACCTGCATTTGTGACTGATGAGAATTGGCTGACATCTCACGTAGTGTAACCAACTGAATAGAACCATCATCTAAACCAATCACAACAGCATCTGTTAATTCACTGCAACTTAAATTCAATGGTGCTATTGATGCGACAGATGAGTCGAAAGAAGTCTCTGTAACAACTTGGTGAGAGATATCATCAACTACAGCCGACTCATCTTCACATGCAATACGACCAAAATTGTTTTTTAAGTTCTTCAGGTTGTAAACGACCAAGCCACCACCCCATAGATCCCCTATGGTGGACAAAACAAAAATGCAGTGTCAGTGTTAATTAACATTATTTATAATCAATGAGTCATATCCGTTCTCATATGACATAATATATATACTGTTCAATTTATTTATCTTTAAGGACTTTATATCTGCAAAATTTAGCGGTAATACAATAATTTATGGACGACTTAGAAGAGTTTATCATTATGTTCTCATTTAGGCAGTTTATAAAAAGCAAATACTCATGGTTTCTAATAGTGCTTATTATGAATTATTCTGAGCTTCCTAAGCTATAATTGAGCACGAAATATCTCATAAAATTAACTCAGCGAATTGGAAGTTTGTTATAAGCGTGGTAACATATTATTTTGATAAGTCAGAGTTGGTCAAGATACTTTGTTTACAAGTGATTGTGATGAAGGTAAGACTAAGTCTGATATCAGTAAAACAGTAGACAACAAAGCAGCAGACACTCGTAAAGACGACACTTCACCATATTTAGCGCCAGAAGTATGTCTATTCAGTAGTTTGAAATATTCCCAAATTGTAAAACCTAATTTTACAACATGTAGTACACTGCAAAAACAGATTACTATGAATATTTTCAACCATGATTTTTTTATTACTGAAAGAGAAGAATAAATTGACCCTTACTGATATAAAAAGGTGCTTTATTTTATTCCCCCGTATTTTATTAAACCTCGGCCTCCTTTTGCCAGAAATGTTTAACACGAGCTTACCAACTACAGCCAACAGTTGAAAGGCACAAGATGAACCGCAAAAAATAAGCCGTAATACATCTAGTCACATCAATCACAAATTACGATGAGAAACTGGTTTGCAGAAAAAATTCAACACCACAAAAATTATTTTTGCATCTACGAAGGTATTATTTTTCACCTGATATGGAGGAGGATCCTATGAATAAATTTCGATTATTTACTCCTATCGCTGAAACCACAGACGCGTATTTAGCATGTGAGAATCCAGAACCCAAACTTATATCATCGATATTTATTTCGTGCATCGTAGCGGACCAATATGAAAGCACCGCAGTCCTTGACCTTAAATTGCAGTACTCAAAATGGTTCAAATGGTTGTTGATGGAACAGAAGAAGCTTTCGCTTAGCAAGGGATTACCAATACCTTCAGGCAGCAACCTGTGTATATTAACGATAACAGAGGAAAAAGAAACTGGTAAAGCATAGTAAGATATCCTTGATCCTTAAGAATAAGTCGATTTGCCTCTTAAAGGGCTCGTGGGAAGTCGCTTGGACTAGCTCAGCCGGTATCGAATTTCAGGAATTGACAGCTCATAAAGATTAGAAGTTTTGTCTACAGTTCGTTCTGCTGATTTGTGTCTCTAGTTTATGGGTGTTACCCCTTAGGTTTGTGTTGGAGCTAAACTTAAGTAGGTGTTTAAGGGGATGTCCAGAAGTGTTAAGGATACTGTAAGCCATTAGAAGGTCACCTCTTGGATGCCTATACTCTAATGGGCAAATGTTTAGTGAATGGAGGCGCTCTTCGTATGGCTTGAATTTCAGTCCTCACATTGATTTCGTGGATCGCCGTTGCATACGCTTCAGAGTGTCCTTATCATTTTGAAGTGAGGCAGGAAATACTATGTTTCCGTACTCTAAATGGAAACGAATGAAACTGTCAAAAACTGTATGAAAAGTCCTTTCATGGAACTGGTCAAAAATGCGCTACAGTGTTACCGGTACAAGGTTTGCGCGAAAGGCATTTTTGTCACAGTTAGAGTAAGACTTCAAATAGTAGGATGCCAGCATTTTAACATTTTTCAACTTCAGATACTTCTAGAGAGGAGTTTCTTAAACTGTAATTGTATTCTGAAACATGTCGCGGATGGACTACTTTACAGTTTGAAGTGTCGAAGGTAAGTACGTTATCGTCTGCCCAACTTTGAAGTCGAATCAGATCCTCCTGATGTGCCTTTATATCCTCTTGGTTGCGTGTCTCTCTCCAGAGTTTCACATCATCAGCAAAAAGTAATAACTCAGACGATAGTTGCTGTGGAAGATCGTTTATATAAATCAAGAGGAGAAGAGGTCCAAATCTGAGCCCTGAGAGACCCTGCTAGGACATTCCATAGCCTGAGAGAAAGTGAAGTTAAAGCTGACCTTAACATGTCGCTATTTAGATATGAAGTGAGCCAATCAATTAGAGGTGATTTCACACCCAAACATTTGAGCTTATCGATAATACATATATGATTGACACTAACAAAAGCTTTCGAGAAGTAAAAGTAAATGACTTCAACCATCCCTTCCCGATCAATGATGGTTGTCCATCTGTCCACCGTGGTCATCAGGTTGGTTATACAATAATGACCCTTCCTGAGATCATGCTGTTGTGGTAGAAAGAAGTTTAAGGTTAGTAAATACTCATGTATAGCATCACATATCAGGGACTCCATAATTTTCGAAAGTATAAAATGAAGAGTCACTGGCCGGAGTTTAGAAGGTTTGCTGCGTCGACCTCTCCTGAAAATTGGTGTGATGTAAGTCAGACTCCAAATCTCCGGTAGTTCGCCCCGGCTTAAAAATTGTGAGAATATCACGCTGAGCGGTGTTGCCAGGATTGAAGCTGCTTTCCTAAGTGTAGCAGAATGAACCACATACGGACAAGGATCAGCGTCTTATCTTGGGTGCTGCAGGTTCCAGTACATCAAGTCAGCGGTCAGGTTCACCTCGGAAGGTCCTGCAGATAAATCTTTCATTAATATAGTTCATGTGGGTTGGTTGAAATGTCTGACAGTAATCTTCATCCAGATGGTTAGCGACGTCACCGTCGTCTTCGATCGGGCCATTGATACCTAGCATTTGAAAAACTCCAGTTTCGGCTTGTCGAAGAGAGGCTCCATAACGGAATATGCTTTTTGGATTGGAGACAAAGTTATCCATAAGCTTTATCTGGTACTGAAGCCTGTCTTCTCTTATAGCCTTCATGCATATGGTCCTTATATGTTTGCATTGTCTGCACGCGCCGTTGTTATCAATTCCTTTGTATTCTGCCCGACAGTACCTTTGTGGTTCTTGATGATTGTAGTTTGCTTGTAGATTTGGGGGATCGTTTGATGAACAGACCGCTTTGTAGCACAAAAGATTGTGTGCAGTAAGAAATCCTAATGAGCATCCATGTCAAGTTGAGGGTGAACATCCCAATCCACCTGTTGTAGATAGTTCTGTAAAGCTGACACATTCAACCGTTTGAAATTCCAGCACCTGTTGTTGGTGGGATATCTTAGCTCAGTTTTGCCGATGAAACTGGATGCTACGACGGCGTGATCGTTTTTCCTCAGGTAAGCCAGGACTGAGAGGTTGTCGATTAGGAATTCTTTGTATGTAAATAACCGGTCTAAGCGTGATGGCGTCTTACTGTCCCTCCAAAGAGTTGGCGACTTCACATTCTGAAATAATCTCAGGTCCTCAGTGAGGTTGAAGAACCGAGCTTCAGTTGAGTTTTCACCTCTAATACACGTATTTTCCGAGAAATGCACTTCAGGAAAATTGAAGTCGCCTAGAATCAAGATATGAGTGAATCCGAGACGCGTAGGGCGGAATAATCCTTCCAGCATGCTATTGTCGTAATCACTGTCAGCAGTGGGCTTCCACCGGTTGACTCCAACTAGACACCTCGAGGTGGGAGACGTTCTTACTGAGCACCATACGGATTCATCTAGATTGATAAAATCTCGGTTGTGCACTTGATGTACATCCTGACAGGATCGTAAATGTAAGGACATTCCAAACCCGCTTCCTGTTTCTCTATCATTGCGAAACACAGACATCCCGGGTATTGCCAGCTCCTGGTCTGTAAACTGAGAAGATATCTATGTTTCAGATATTCCTACCATATGATTCTTATCAGCATTACTGAGTTCATCCATTTTATTCGGTAAAATCGTGACTTTTATGTATAAGCAGTTTATGCTTTCAATTTGAAACGTATAAGCGTCTCCTTTGTGTATGAGCCTTTCGTGAGTTGACAGGTAGCCTACCTATACAAGATTTTCCGGGTCGATAGCCCGTACCCTTTACACATTTTTTTATGATCAGGACGGACCATAATTAAAATGGTCAGCTCCATCTTGCCTTTGTGCTTGATCATGGCGTCATGTTTCCTATCCGGATGCATATGGTTATCAATTGTTTGTTGGCACGAAATGCTTCCAGAGTTGCAGTCACCATATAAGAGGATGAGAAAATTATCTTCATTCCGTTCCTATTAATGATAATAACTGTGATAATAACATGTGTTTATGTCTATATCTTGATTGCCAGCTTCTCCTTTAAATTGTTCCTGTTTCTTGATTGGATACGGCGTTTCATTTATTGACCGCTAGGAGTCCTTATATAAGTTTACTTGATTACAGTTTTTGAATCTTCGTCCTGTGACCTTAAAGACGATAAGTTCTAGAAGAGAAAAAAAGATAAGACATGCTGACACCCTCACAACCAGGATACAAAATGCTAACATTAAGTCACGTCATTTTTTACGATTGGATTATAGGGAGTTTTAAGGGCCTATCGTTTAATATGCTCTGATTTTTTAACATCTTGAATGGGACATTAACGAACTGCAAACAGGTTTAGAAACGGTGTTCTGAAGCTATGTACAGTGCATCAATTACTACAGACAATTGTTTTTCTTCATAATATGTTTAATGAAACACTCGTGGACCTAACTGCTTAATAGTTTGTCGGGTATTGGCTCTCATTGTCTTATAAATCGTGAGGTTTGGTACATTTCTTCAGTCCAACTACAACCCATCCTGGATGACTGAAATTTTGAATTGCCGACGCAAGCTATTGTAGAAATCGAACGTGTAGCCCACTCTGTCCTGGTTTTTTAGTGTTTTAGGAGTTTAATTTTCGGTATCACATCGTGTCGGCCGAAGTCTATGGCGAGTAAAAGATTACTTCCGGAATGGGTTTTGCATCGAGGGGTTTCATGATTGAAGAACGTTCCTAGGTAAACGGTCACAGCCCCTGCTCTGAATTGAGAATTTCTCTGATCCCCGCACATTCGTAGTGAACTCCAAGACTTGACTATCAGTGAAGAGCAAATAGTATCCACATGATGCAAACACGTATGTCGCCATTTTAGAGTACGAATTCTTTCCCTAAGGTATACGTTGAGACTGAATTTAATTTAACTTTTAGGAATACCTCAGGGATTATTACTGATGTTACGCCGAGTGCCTCTGTGTACGTTTTTTGAGACCATTGTTATTCCTTTTGCATGTAAATAACCCTCCTCGTCACCTATCATCATCGGTCTTGTTATATGCTGACAATATCAAGATATAAAGAGTGATGAAATGTAAAGGTGATAGATTAGAGCTTCAAAACGACCTGGAGAAATTACCCCATATGATGCTCAAATAAACTAGACCTATTTCCATTATCATACAGAAAAAACAGAGCAGACTTGACCACAGTTTTTAAATTACTTAGAGATAAATTTGAATTTGAATATGCTTTCACTTTTCTTGCTATTCAAGACAATGGATTTACGTGTGCATTCTAAAAATGTTCACAAGACCACAACAAATTACTTGTCAGCTGACCATCGACTTTCTCACTTAATCATCAGCTAATGAATTTCATTACTTCAATACGTGATTGAAGCTTATCTGTTAGCGCTTTCAAGGGACGTTGAGTCGGCTGATAGACCACCATCGACAGGAAAAACACAAGTTGCCTTGTTTTCTGTCATTTGCAAACTTAAGCAGAAATCACTTGTAACGATTGGTTTCGTCTTAAAAGACATGTATATTCAATAAGGTTTGTAAAAACAAGATATAAACAACATTGTTTCCTTTATTTGTAACACTTTATATGTAACCACATTTGTATTAAATATCTTCTGTTTCTCTGCATCATTTTGCAAGACTAACATAACTTTTCGGGAGTTTTATTACACGAACAATCGTTATTTATTTAGATAAACATTATCTCCGTCGTCTGTACCTCTAATTTATTAGACCTGTTCTGTGATTGAAGATCATAATACTGTTTTAACATACTTTTAGACCACTCTACACTACGTCGGAGTTTTGGCCCAAACTATTATTGAATAATACTGTCGAATTTCTCTTTATCGTTTCGCCGTTGATGTCATCACATACTGAGCAACTTTCATTATTCAAGTAAACTCACTTGTAACGAAAGGAAAACTCTGAAAATATCTCCATAGCACTTCATCGGATAGTACTGTAATTTCTTTTTTTCCCTCCTCTGTCTCATATTTTAACCTTTGTTTGGGTCTCTTTTTAACCATGCATTATATTCTTCGGTCATCCTCACCAGCTCTTCTATTATGTGGCCTTGGATAAAAACTTATTTTGTTAATTAATTTCACTGTTGCATGTTGCTGGACCATTGGTAATAAGATCGTGTCTGTATAACCTCAGGGTCACGACTTGGTTCCGTTTATGACTGTTGGTTTTTGACTGTTTACTTGTAAGCGTTTCTGGGATACTTGCAAACAGATATTCGATCCTATCTTGTTGAAAGAATTTTTATTGATTCTCATGCATCAAACTCCTGCTTATTAACTGATCCTGTTGATGTTAAATCCATTAGTTTTTGTTAAAGAAATCCTTGATGTACAGTACAGGCTATACCTTTTGAGGCATTTTGTACTTTCGATATAATTTATTCTCTTTCTCGTAATAAAGCCGTTTGATATGAACAAATGGTTTGTGTTATTATATAATTTTGATTGAAGTACATACTGATGCTGTTCACAAGAATGTTTTATAACAAATCCGTTCAGTACATATATCACGAACGTCCCGACGTTTACATCCTAGAGCACTAATAGTCTTCACATTATTAAATATGTGTTCGTATTACTTGAATTTATACTCTCACAATGGAATAATCTTCAGACAGTGACTTCAATATACCTGACATTTACAACAAACGAGATCAGTCGATTCTCGCGACCATCAATTCAGAACACAATACACTCATTTACACGTTTACTCATACACAAATAACCCACACATACAGATAAAACACAAACTGTTCTTGTGAACGTATGATACTTATAAGTGTTCGAAATAATGTACTAATTTTTTCAGGGATATTGCAATTTAAACTAGATAGAACTAGATGAGCGCAAACGGACTTATTGTATTTGGAGTTCGTAACCAGCGGGTAACCAATTACAAGGGAATCATTAGTTCCTACAAATTTCTAAACCGCCACATCCTAAATTGGAATTCAAATTTCTGTAGTTGATTGTACTTCTTCCCACTAGGTTCATTGTACATCAGTCTAACTGTGTGTTGGATGTAGAATCTGAATGGTCTAGAATATACTCATTAGTTTAGTATTAAAATCAACAACTAAAATTGGAACAAAGTCATCTGGTTACTTGAGTTGTATTTAAAAAACATGTCGGTTGTTTCTGTTTAAATTATTGATATACAGAATTTGAAACATAGGTTATCCAACGCCACTACACGAAGTAATGTTGAATCTTCATATCCCCAAGTTTCAAATAATGTGACCATACTTAAGACATATTTTTCACGCTAACTAGAGGATCTACTGGGAGCGAATTCATGTTGAGGATAAATAAAAATCAATATGAGATTTTTGAAACTGTAACTTGTGCTTCACACTAACCAAGTTTTCCATCAGTAACCAAAAAAATTGTGAAAACGAATAAAATTTGATGACATCATTAAAATCTTGTATTTTCGGAATGTCGTTTTTCAAACTTATTAAGAATCTCATTGAAGAATAGTGCATAATCAGAAAAATCAGTACCTATCAAAATCGTATCCAATGGTGATTCGATTCGTTCTACATATTTTTTTCAGTTCAAAAATCCATGATTCATTAAGACAATCCATATCTGGCAAAATAACATGATAAATATGGTAAGAAGTTGGTTCATTTGAAATTGTTGTCACACAATGATTCCGAGTTTCATTCGGTAAACTTGTACTCACTGTGCCGTTTCAATTCTTTTCTGAATACGGAGCCCCACAGCTTCCTAGAAGAATATCACCCGAAATATAAGTTTTTCGATTGGAGTTTGATTTCAGAGTTATGCAGCGCTAATGAGGCTTCATTTAATTCTGGTACAAGATGTGACTCTACACTGGTTCTATCAATAATAGTCGTGCAATAGACCAAGATAGATATATAGTTGACTCTGAATATGGATATCAATTCCCAAAACTGTGAATAAAGATAATTGATCACTGGAGACGCCTAACTTATTAAAATCAGAAATACGGGTTTAATCATCAACTGTAGAAAAACAAACAGTAGATCTACAAACCGATTTGGTGTGTCCCATGTTATCATATTTCAATTATTTTACATGTCGAAATACACATGACATACTTAGTTGACATTTATCACAAGATAAACATTTACAAAACCTGCGCTCATATATGCAACCTGCTTTGCAACTCCCCAATAGATTGTTATCTGCATGACCTTGAGCACGCACTGGATTGGTATAAGTAAGTAATGTGGTAGAATTCTTGATATTCCTGTGTATCGTTTTTTGAAGATTCTCCCCTTTGTTGCATTTGAAATTAGTGCGCTTTACTTGATTTGGTACTAGTGTTGTGAGAGTTGCATAAGGAAGTGAAATACTCTTGTCTGGCAATGCCGAAGTTTTTAGTAAATTGTAAGCTTCTTTTCTGATGAACGTAAGGAAATCAGTCAAAATCTTGTCATCCGTAAAACCTTTCCTGGTCATACTTCAGACTTCGAATCTTTTTATATAGTCTTAAAAAGCTTCAGAATTTCAGTGTTTATCAAACTAATCATCCACAGGCTCCATCGCGATGTAAATATGATAATTAAAAGTATTCAAATTAAAGTACTAAGTATTCCAGAGATATTGCAATATAAACCAGATAGAAATAGATAAACGCAAACGAACTTATTGTATTTGATTTTTGTGATCAGCGGGTAATCTATTACAGGGGAATCATTAGTTCGTACAAATACCACAAAACACTAATCTTCATCATATACCAACAAATACATATGTATTATCAATCAGTGACAACCGCACATCACTATCACATAAATGTTCATCTCACAACAAAACATATTCACACTGAATGAACTCATTCTCTTAATATATAGAGAATGAGCTTGAAGCAGTGACCGCAGTGGTCCTCAGAAAGCATCATCGTAAGGAATGGATCTCTATCGATACCCTGGACAATATTCAAGAAAGGAAGAACAAGAAGACAGAAATTAACAACAGTCGAACAAGAACAGAAAACCTCAAGACATAAGCTGAGTACACAGAAGCAAGCGAGCAAGTGAAGAAAAGCATTAGAGCCGATAAGCAGAAATATGTGAAAGATGTAACAATGACTGCGGAAAAGCTTCAATGTGAAACAATTGTTTGACACAACGAAGAAGCTGGTATGAAAATGTGGTAAACTAGAGAGACCGATCACAAACAGAAAAGGCAAGCCAATCACTGAAATTCATAGTAAAGAGAACAGATTGGTGGAACACTTTGAGGAACTTTTGAATAGGTCATTTCCATTGAATTTACCGGATATCGAAGCAGCACCTACAGGTTAGCGTTTTTTTAGCGAGTTAGTTTTCTACGGGATGGGGACGCTAACCCCATGCCCAACCCTCCTCCTATATCCGGGCTTGGGACCGGCAGTAGCCTCCGGAGGGACTCCAGGCGGAGTTAGCACCTACAGATCTTCCTATAAATGTCACATTATTGTATTGTTTATACTTTTTAATATACGAATGTTTATATACATCTCCGTTTTTTTAAATAACATCTTTTGTTTATCTGCTTTATTGTGGTCCAAATTTTTAGGATGATGAGAGGATTTTAAATAGTTCTTCAAATAAACTTCAGTCAAATTAATATTGTATTATGCATTTAAAAATACATTTGTTCTTATGTATAGGATTAGTCTTCAATGAATATTTCAACGCTACTTATAAAACCGTACACCATCATGAACTAGGTATCACTGTTCAAATCTTTCATCCTAGTTTGAAGTTTTCAGACAATAAACATTCACGACTACTCTTAAGGATGAACCCAGTGACTCTTATGTTTTATATCGAACCGTTTAGTCGATTAACATCAACTCAGTAGTCATCATTGACCGATTATACTAAGTTTTTGACGGAACTTGACAACTATTTACTGATGTTAGTAAGCAGTTAACTGACTTATTATATACTTGACAGGTTTTATATGAGGTGACTTCCAAACACAATAGTTGTGTGTTATTTCATCCTGATACAGGCCTCCTCTACAATGAGCAGCAAAAATTTACCAACAATCAAACACACACGCACACACACAAGACCTTTTGATCTCATAATAATAGGTTTAACATTAAAACTATCAAAATGATAAATAAAACTAGTTTCCCATTCCAACTTAAATCAATTTATGTCATTAGATAAGTCATGTGAAGGAAATGAAAATCAACATCTAACTGTAATACATATCATGGTCCCATAATATTACTTCAAGTGGACATAATGTTTACAATAAATAATGAGTATATTTTAAAATGTAAAACCCATGATAATCTGTTCATGGTGATTTATGCCATTCACCAATATTACGTTTAAAATAGTAACATATTTATTACTTTTGAAAAAAGCCACTCAATACGCATAGTGATCCGATAGCGGACCAATATAACCCAAACGTAACAGATGACATCTGGAATAAAAAGCAAAAGATAATGTTCAATTATATAAATAAAGTCGTAATTACTCGTTACGATTTTATGGATGCATTTGAATATGAATTACATTCTGAACTACTATCATCTATAGAGCCAGCAAGGGGTCAATAGACAGCTGTATCGTTTTAATATGAAAGTTCTTTGAATTTCACATGCATGATTGGACGTAGCGTGAAACTCAAGATATTCAAGTCTTTCTAAAGGCATCAAACGTTTCAGTTATTGAATTCAATGATCAATATTTCTAAATCAAGATATCCTTGAGCATAGTTTCTTAAGAAGTCTTATGGAACCCCTCTAGATGTTTATCGCTAGTAGTTAGTCACATGGCTTATATTAGTTAAATTTGAGAATATATATATACAGTAGTATCCAGCTTGTTTAAGTGATTTTAAAAACATTTTATAAACCGCTCATACGTTTTTAATTTCGTTTGCTTGGAATTATTCATGGGTTATTATATCGTCAAAATACTATCACTATGATATTTATTTTCGCGATAGATTCAACAAATTTTATAGTCAGCAAGGGGTTTTGTACATATTCTAGTATTTTTAACGTTTGAATCTACGAGTCTATCGAAGCTAGACCACTATAGAAAACCTGAAAGCACTGGACGACCGTTTCATCCGAGTATGGGTCTCAGCAGTGCTCATCTACGGTCTCACACAGGGCACTGGAACCTAGAACCTTCGGTCTCGCACACGAACTCTTAATCTCTAGGTTACCGTTTCAGCATCCGACAGTGTTAATTTCTAGCCTCAATCAATCCATCATCTTGCTCAAGACTTCATCCATATTCTGGGGTGGATAACTGTCTCCAGTCGACAAGGACTGAACTCCACTGGTTAAAGCTTCTCAATAGAACTCCAGGAAATCCATCTTGAAGCTAGTCACTAGTGATGCAGTTATTTCTTGTGACGTACGGTGCCTGAAGTTTGATAATGATATACGATGTGCTATGAGCCAACCCTCCAACTGACTACTTGAGCTAGAACACAAGAATGAACGAAAAAGTGTATTGGGCTACCGAATGAAATGCAAAAATACTAATTCATATATATACCACTTTATCTTTAGGAAATTGACTCACTGACTCCAATAAAATGCACTTGACCTTTGGGTCAGATCTGGTTGCTGTCAAGTGACCTTTTGCTACTTCTGAATGGTTCTACATATAATTATTCCCCTAAGACAATGGATGAAGGGTTGCTCAAGACGGTGGACTGATTAAAGTTAAACATTAACACCATTGGATGCCGGATCGGTGGTCTAGAGGTTAAGCGTCCATACATGAGACCGAAGGTTCTGGGTCTGAGTGCCCCATGTGGGACCGTAGATGAGCACTGCTGAGTCCCATATTCGAATGAAGTGGCCGTCGGGTGCTTTCAAGTTTTCAATAATGGTTTGGCTTAGATAGACTCGTGAACTTAAGTGTTAGGAATTTTACAGTGTAAACATCTAAGTGGCTATAAATAAAAATAATATATTTGTAACAATGAACCCAATGCTCAATTTATTCGAAATTATCAAATCAAACCTTGGTAATGACACCTATATCTAAGTGGCTAGTATAACAATGAACGCATAGTTCGTAGCTTTTGTTACTTAAGCTAGTATCATGAAGAAATGCTTGAATTACAATAATAATAACAAGTTAGTTTTTATACCGTCCTAAATAACAGTTTCTGATTGCAACAAAATAGATTTATCCAATTTGTTTTTAAACATCACGCTTAATTTTCCAGTATTTTGACTATAACAGAACCTTTCATAATAGTCATTAAAAACCGATAGTAATAAATCTTTGGTTATTATAACTTTTACATCAAAATAGTTTTATGTGTTACGCATAAAAAGACAGAATTTGAACGAGTGCAAGTGATATGACGCCGATGACTATAATAAAAGTATTTGGATCTGACTTCAATCTCAAAACGTAAAACGTGACAGCTCTAAGCTTTGCCTTTTAGATGGTGTTTTAAATTCTCTAGACTCATTCATATCATTCACAAAGCTGGCGATAAAATGGTGTATATATTTAAACATCATTTGACATGAAGCCAAATGAATTTTTTTCAGAAAATTTTAAAATGATGTTTAACTTACAATACTTTCACAAGGCATCTAACATAAGAAAAATAACAAGCAACATTTTGTTGTTTTACCAAGTAAATATCATAGTAACATGTGATGATTACTTTGTAGTGACCTACTTTTACCAAGAGAGCGCGATTGATTTAATTGAAACAATCATTATTGTAACCAACTGTACCAATGATTGTTTTACTGTGATCGCTTGTTTAACTGTGCTAAAGACAACTATATTACTGCTCCATTATCTTTCGATTGTGACCTTGCACGGGTTTGGTTACGCTCGGTAACCACGCTTGTAATCCTTTGGCACGATCTCGGTATCCTTTTGATACCACAAGATCGCCAACAAATACATCTTGACTACAGCCATCAACTGCCTTCTGATATTTGGCTTACGGAGGACTTTATCGGTTGACTGGCACGTAGTCTTCTTGTAGTGGTGTTCATAATCAACCGCAACTCGACACCACGCCACAACTTTATGACTGATTATGTGAGTTTTCAACTAATCCGATATTATGGTCATTTAAAGTAACTTACATGTTAAAGAATAGGTATCCTTTAAAACTTGTTCAGTGTTTTCATTCTCAATCTTACAAATATGAACGCTTCGACATAATTTGTATTGAATGCATATATATATATATATATATATATATATATATATATATATATATATATATAGATTTTGAGCTCTGATTATAAATTACTTGATTCTCTCGAGAAAATTGATTATTTATTTACAGAAATATAAGTAGTTTTAGTTATATTCATAAACAGATATAATGTAAAATCCGTAACATGTTCACTCTCGAATAGACTGCATCCATCCCAAAAACATTTTATGTAAACGTTCAATCTGATTTATTGTATCTCTTATTAAGAATGTGGAAGGTATTATTATGGTACGTAGAAAATTATTTTGATTTCAGCTAATATCTCAACAAAGTGAGAAAAATGTTAAATCACTTAGACTAGTGGTCACATTACAACTTATTGCACCTAAAGGATTGAACAAACGTGACATTAGTCTTAACACAAGAACCAGTCAATTATAAATGTCTCAGTCCTACAGAAAGTCAGACCCTATCACAATAACTTGGATATCACATCTCATCTAGGTAATACGAGTTGAAATAGTACATAGCATCAATTTCGTTAAAAGCGCAGGTACGTCTTGTTTACGAATATTATTTATTTGAAACCTAAGTTCATAGTCCTATAACTGATAATTCAAACCACCAAACACGATATGAAGTATTTTGATTTTCTGTAAACTTGTAATTGGTGTACGTTTGAAATTTCCACTGATGTTTGATGTGTGTGACAATATATTTTTTAACATGCATATGTCCAGCACTATCTTTATTGGTTTACCTTACATTAGAGCTTAATGTACTCAAATATATCATTGCATTGAAACCCCTATTATAATTTGGCTTGTCACCGATTATCTTGATTTCCCCCAATAGTTAAAATATTTAAGTAGTATGCTGTATACGAAATTTCTTTCATTTCTCTGTACAGTATTCACTCTACACATCTCATTTTAAACTCACAGTAATTTTAAAAATAAATTATCACATAAACGTACCTGAAGTAAAGTCGTAACTTCCTAACCATAAAAGTCATGAGTGGATAAATTTCATATTGTGCACTTCAGGTACCAAACTGAAAGGTTTAATACTAAATTTCTAGGTCACCAATGATAAATATTAATACTCTGCGGTTTCTAACTAGTGGCAAATAAATCATAAGAATTAAAAATGAACGTTAAATATTATACTACTCAATTATTGTAGTAATATAGGAAGAGCGAATTCATAATTGTTTATTGATGAAACTGTGTCACTCTAGTCTGTCGATCAGTCAACTAAAAATGTACTGATGTTTTAATATTGAAGCATGAGTAAGTTTTGCATGATTTCAGTAATAAATGCAATTAATGAATCCTTTTCCAGAAAAGCCACTTGGTTTCGTGAAGAAATACATTTCCTTTCAAGTTCTTCATTGAATCCCAAAATGTTCCACTTATTCGACTACCGAAGTAGAAGAAGTAGCGTTTTGAAGTGTTCTCTATGGATGTTGATTGTTATTGTGCTGACGTTAGATTCTAACTGAATAAGATCTGCGTTACTCCAGTAATGAGACGACTATTCACAAAAAAATATTTTCGAGTATTCAGCTCAAGTATAATTAGTTTGGAAATAGCTAATTTCTGCTCGATCACCAGCTTACTGAAAACGTTACCTGAGAAACTCTACGAATTAAAATGATATTGTCACTTACTCTAAAAATGTCCTGTAAAGCACAACGTCAAAGAAATAAAGAAAAAGCTCATAAATTTCTTAAATTCTGATCATTTTTTTAATCAGACATATGAACTGATCATCAAATAACATTGTGATGCTTAAGTATAAGGTTGTGTAGATTGCTGAATTTCATCGAAATCATGAACCAAATTAAATTAGACCACCGTCGAATGATGATTCAACATGGGTTGGTTCTTGATTTCTATGGAACTTCAGTGTTAATTTATTTAAGTGAACAAGAAAGTCAATTGTCAAGCGATGGATAAAGTTGATACTCTATAATTTCTAAGATATTCAACACATTTTTCTTAAGATAAGATCTCATACTTGATACACACGTATATCCTACTTACGTTTGATATGGTTTATACACACTTATGATTACTCGTAACTGATATTCAGTAGTGTAAATATCAATAACAGAAAGGCAAATCATCTTACAAATATTTTAAAAAAAAACTATTCAAAACTATTGAAATGACGGGTACTAGGTTCTAGTCTCAATATGTTCATTTTGCTGATGAATTCTTAATTAAGAAAAACAGAGATCCTGGAATCTACCCAAAAATGTAGTCACTTACATTTCATGGTCTAATAAAAATCATTATTCATTATATGTTATCATAATGTTTAGGTGACTAATAAAATCACTATTTTTATTAGACAGTTATAAACAAGCTTTATTGTTTTGTCACTGATAATTCCAATAGAAAGACATAAGTCCTTCTGATAATAAAAACTCTGGACGTATATTTCATGTAAGTTGCCACTCGTCAGCAAGACTTACCTACAATTTAGATGGAACAAATACTTCTTAAAGGATGTGAACGCACAGCATTTATTGTTACAGTAAAAGACGTTTTCTGTGTATTTCACAGTTTTCTACTCTATATGAAGCATTTATTCCTTCAACACCTTGATAACAAGTAACAACTAACATGAAACGTCTGCCTATTGTTTCATGTTGACCATCTCCAACCAACATAGTACAAACGGTACAGAGTCACTTGAAATAATGGTTATATTGTTACTTGGTCCATGGAGTTCCATCAATAATAAAGGACTAAACAAATATCTAGTAGGTTTCTGCTCAATGATCAACGAACTACAATCAGGCGAATTATAACTCATAACACATGAAACCCAACCTGTCGATGAGAAGAAATTGAGAAATATTCACCATAGGAAGTTTACTGCATATTACTCTTGGTCATTTCTTTATCAAGTTATATTATTTTAATGAATTTTGATTGAAACATTTAAATTAATCTGGATTTAGATGGAAAGTACTGGTGGGCGGTAACAGGAGTAAGTACGTAAGATTTAGATTTGACATTGAGAAATACACACATAGATCAAAGGACCTATTTGGTTCGATGTAAGAAACGCTTATTGACATGAACACATTCTAATCAACTATATCAAATGGTAGTATAGAATAAAAATATAATATTCAGTTATTTACTGGACAAAATGACATACTTTTGTGCAGTACTACCAAGAAAATAACATTTAGGTTAATTAAGTTAAACTTAGTTTAATAAATCATATATCTACTCATAAGCATACCATTAAACAGTAAGTAATTTTTCAGTTAAACAAGACACTGACGGCATTTAAGTCACTATAGTTTGACTAGTAAAGTTTAAACATCTCCAGTGTAAAACTGAAATCATCGATATTGCCCGGTTTTGAATGTCTAAAGGTTAAACACTCTTCATTAAACAAGAATATCTTAGCTACAACCCCTTGAAACAATTGTAAATATACACAATATCAAAACTTAATAGACCTGTAGCGTTAAACAAATTCCCAAAATAAATAGCTCTGTAAATTTTCGACATTGGATGCTGACCACATGTTTTAATGGACTCATCTAGCTGAAGGCGCTCGGTCATGTATCCGCACCAGATCACGAGTGGGAACGCTGCGCTCAACATCTACTGCAATCGCTAGCCAGATTAGATCAGACGATTCTCGATATATTGATAGTCATCAAATATATCTTCCAATCTCCTCGATTCTGTCTTTTGATTTCTCTTGGTGGGTACGAGTTATATTAGAAAGTGTTACGAGTTAAAGCGTTGTCAAACTCTGAATACTTGTGGCATCTTCATTGGTGAGCCCGACGTGTTTTCTAAAATGAGGTCGGCAGAGGAAGCTAACTTGTCTAAGGCGTTGTTGTGGAACGAGACAAGCACAGCTTGCGCCTGTTGAGGAAGTTTCGACATGCACCTTTTAGTTTTCAATTGTTCTCATACTTAATTCAAACTATGATACAATGTGAAAGTCAGTTTATTAACAAATAAACATGATACTACTTTACAAATCGAATTAGAATCTAGAGTATTTAGATATTTCATTCAATGATGTAATGAATGCCTAATGTAAAACAACATATTACTAAGACAAAGAAACAATGCTATGGATAACTGACTATTGTCTTCATGTTAATTCAGATTTATATAATATAGTGTTAGATATCTTTACTCCTTTAATTAATGTATCATTTATGAAGTATCTAAACAATGAGATGTCAAATGACTGTCAGAAAAACAACAAAAAATGCAATTTACAGTCACAACATATAAAATAGGCGTTTCTGTTGTACAAATTTTTTGTTTCGTTTGTTTTTTTCTAAACACATCAAAGATGTAGCGGTAGCAGTACTTTAAATTACGTTGAAAACACAGATAAATCTCAGTTCTTGGAATACTTGAGATCATGAGTCAATTTAAGCTAGACCACCGTGAGTAACCTGGATGCTTTGGACGGCCGTTTTGTCCAATTATGTCACTCTTCAACAGTGCACCTCGCGAGATTCAAACCCAGGACCTATCAGTTTTGCGCGCGAACACCTAACCTCCAGACCACTAAGCCGGGATCGGGGATGGGCACTGCTGAGTAGCCCTACAATAGGATCAAACGGTCGTCCAGTGCTTCCGGGTTTTCCATAGTGGTCTAGCTTCAATCTACTCATAATTTCAACTATTAAAATTCCACGTATTCATTCATATGTTATTATTTATGGAACAACTGATATTCATAGAATAAGGTTCTGTGAAGATGAATAAATTTTATAATCTACATTGTATATAGAGTGTGAAACATTAACTGAGCAATTATATTGGAAAGCGGTTATGAATTTTCATGGGCTAATTGAATTTAGAAATGTTAACCACTGGATGTTGACATAGTGATCTAAATGTTAAGAGCACTTAAAATAAAATATGAGATCCCTGGGTAAAATTTCTGGTCTACTTACTTACTTACACCTGTTACCCTTGTAGAGGAGCATAGACCGCCCATCAAGATTCTCTTACGAACTCTAGTCTAATCGGGGATAAAATACTAAACTATGATGAAATAACTATTCAGTGCTACCTGACTTTCAACCGTTACGTAATTAAAGTCAATTCGTGATGTAAACTAATAGAATCAACAATGATTACTATAAATACCTATACTAATAACTATTTTTTATACGTTGGTTTTATGAAAACCAGCTTTAGTAAATATTACTTAAAAAATGTATAAAGTAGTTTATTAAATTTCAATAAAGAAAAATGTAAATCTTAACAAATGGTAGTGCTCACTGATTGCTGCAGCTAAAAAAAATTTAAGTTTTTATAAAGAAAATTTATCTTTTTCAACTAATTCATGTTCTGTATTAAGGAGGAAGAATGTATTTGTAAAATCTCAGTGAATGAGTTTGAAGTAAGTCCAACGTTTGGTACTCAGCAATCTGGTCTAAGCTTTTTTCAGGGAAATATAATCAAACATAAAAAAATTATCGAATAGAAATAAGTATATGGTTGTTCGGTTAACTGTATACTAATTAGGTTATCCGATCATGTTAACAATGTTTAAGATAGGTATTCGCTTCGATCTGTATTTGATATGTGGTGTGCAACAAAAAGTGTATTAAGATAATAAATTGTGTGTGTTCGGAAGTGAATCTGAGGTGTGAGAAGTTTCATTCACTAGTTATCGCCTCTAATTCACGTACGTCGAAGTATATAGTTTTATTCATTTGTCAAGCATCTTATTCAAAATACATGGTAAATGGATGTTTGGGAAAGAATGAATTTCGTTTGGCTTCATATCAATGTATGAGCATTACTGCAAACCAATCGAAGTTGGAACCAAACTATCAAACACCACCTCAGTGATCCAAAGGTTACGTGCTCATTATTAGACCTGATGGTCTATGGCTAGATTTTCAATGGAGTTTTATATGACCACTGCGTAGGAGTCTCATACTAGGATAAAACAGAAATAAATTGTTTCTACGTTTTCGAAATTCATCCAACTAAGTTCAGTTCTTGTTTTAGATTATCAAGGTTTCATTCAGTAGCAAAAGAGCTGTTCCTCTATTCAAGTACCATACCAAAGATGTATGAAACGTGCTCCTCAAATATATCTTTTACTACAATTCCAGTTAAAGTAACATTTCAATACTAAACATCCTGTCAAAAAAGCGTAAAGCCAACAATACTTTAGACATTAGTTATCCTTCAGATGTATTTCCATGACTATTGCATTATAAATTGAACTGCAAATCCTCGGCTTTCTACGCATTGAGTTTGCTTTGAGATATTGTTATCTGCATCATCATTAATTACAATAGGTCTAGTTGAAATAGTCTCGTCATCTCATGGAACTAATTAGTAAAAGTCTCTTGGTACTTTACTATGGTTAGTGATCCTCCATGATAAAAACAATTCAAAAAAGTATCAAACATTTAATCATAACCTAGTTAGTATCAATGCATTCTACAAACGAAAAACTCTTCGTTATGCAACTATTTGACTCTCTTTTCTGTCTAATCGATACTCAGCCTAGCAGTCTCACTCTCATCCATATCTTAATACGATAAAATATACTTGACTAGTTCGATCATATAAATTTCTTTCTTTACATTGATGTCATTTGTTTGTACATAATAAGTGAGGACAACATTTAAAGGATCATGTTACCAATACCCTGAAAGTCTATTTTATTAAATAGGGTGAGTTTACCCGCCACATGTTCAATGTTCATGCAATATACCATATCGTGAAATCCCGAAAGCTTCCAATTTATTTATTTAATGTGTGTTGCATATTGAGGTGTAATTTTCATCAGACATTTCAATTTAGAACTTAAAATTCCATGTATTTGTATTTATTATTCAGTATATTAGTTTGGGTAACATTGATATATCCATAGCAAATAATCGTTGATAAATCATAGTGCTTGAAATGAAATCTTTGGTGAAAATCACTCTCTCTTTCTCTCTCTGAACGTCTTCCATAAAATGAATATCTGAAAGTACTTGTTAATATTACATTGCGTTAACATTGAGAACTTGATGAATAACCATAAGACGTTATTAAAATAATGAAATACGTTGGTAATTACATATAGTTTCTTACCGTCGATTGATATAATTATTGTTAAAATAAAAGTGATACACCATAATATACGAACACATTGATACATTTCTGTTACAAATGAAAAACATATATGAGAATGGCTATCATACAATTTTATAATATACCACACCCTAAATAAAAGCGTGTTTTGTTCGAGTCTACAAAAAAAACCAATTAGAATAGATTATACAATGGTTTCTATGTAAGAATTTAAAGTAATATTATGTGTTATTGATTAGCATATTAAATTCTGAATGTAACTTATTTATGAAGTAACTGTCGATGTTTCAAGTTTACATGACGTACTTTACCTTAATTCAAGTGACATCTAAAACCATGATGTAATGGATAATTGTTTTGTTTTATCATTAGACTCTTCAAGTAGGGTGCAATTATGACTTTAACAGGAGTCGAACCCAGGGCCTGAGTTTTTTTACTTTTGGAATATTGAACTTACGTCAATTGATGCACGTATGATGTAAGCTATAAAGCTTTATTTACATCTGAACAAGAAACTTAAATCTTTTAACGGGACTAGAATAACTGGATAAAGATACATAGTCACTGTTGGCTATTTTTTAGAGATCTTTATTTAGTTTTGCCTTCGCGAGAAATTTTAGTTACATCCATGAGAAAACCTAAAAGTCATTAAATCTCATACTATTACTCATAAGATTACATGAAAATGTGTATTACTATTGTTGAAAGATGTTCATGATTATTCCAAGTTAATTCTCAACTAAATCTAGATATAATCATCTTATAGACTGTCGAAGTTTACACACTCACATATTTCAATGGTAGGTTATAGTAGCAATTCGAAGTATCTTCGTCCAAAAATCTATAATTTATGTGACTCAAAGTAATATTATACAAAAGATTAGTTTTGTCTGTTTACACTCAATAATGGGATGAATGAAAATACTTTAGGTATTTTAATACTGTAACTACCGGAGATTGTATCGCAGAAATTTGTACAACAAGGTATGTACAATGGCGTTTTTTAAAGTATTTGGTAATAATTTTACCACTATGGAAGGGTGTTATGTCCGCGGAATACTTGACTGACTTGATACATGGTACCAGGAAAATGTGAGTTGGAAGACGTAAGAAAGAACTTAAAGACGGTTGACGAGGAATTATTTAATGCGCAAAATAAAACAAAAGGATATATGAGTTCACTCATTTTTATATATGATTTATTATTTAATCAACAGCTTGCTATGTGAACACATTAAAAATACCATGTGACTAGGCATCTATAATTAACATACCTAGACCGAAGACCCTGGGTTCGAATCGATAGAGCGGAATCGTTGATGCACACTGCTGAGGAGTTCCATAATAGGACGAAACAACCGTCCAGTGCTTCCAGGTTTTCAATGGTGATCTAACACTAATCGGTTCATGCTCTCAATCAAAAACTAAATTATTTAATTACTCAATATGTGACCAAATGTTATGAACGATAGGAAAAGATAAATCCCATGAGTCTTTCAAGCACTGATCGTCAAAGTCATTCCTCATCATATCAAAGAATAAGCTCATTTAGCACGGTGGCGAATAGACTATGAGTCAGGGTAGCCTCTGCGATTAAATTTTTCCAATTAAATGTTCTGATTAGAACTGATTTCTTTGGTATACGGCGAGAGCTGTGTTATATGTGATAAATTCCAAATACTAAAAACTACATGAAACATTTCATTGATAAACTAAGCAAAGATGAAAAATGGCTAGCAGTGGAATCGAGGACGCGAATTCCGTCCTATTGTGGACTCATCAATTGAATGTACTTGCATCTCAGAGTTCACGTTCACTTCAGAACAGTTCGCTTTAAACATCATCTCGTTATCCACTTAGCTACCGAGCCCTGATAGTCACTTACTTGTGTAATATGGTGAAGTTTAAATTAATTTGTGAATTAAAGCAATATGGAGACAATACGCACAATATTCCCATATGCCAATAAGAAACTGATCAATTACAGTCGTAAACATCAATTAAAAGATTCAAACAAGCAATACCAAGTGAATCTAACTCATTGGTATAGTTTCTAGTTTATATCACTGATTACCTTAAATTAGACAACTGGTGAAAATTCGAAAAAATGGAATAAAAAGTGTGACAAGTGTACATAGAATAAGCTGAGTGGAGATAGAATAATATTAAAATACAATAATAATATGAAAGAGTTAATATTATTCGCTGGTCGGTGGCCTATGCTCCATTAGGAGTAACAGGCGTAGGTAAGTAAGTAAATATTATTCATTTCAATTGATTACGTTGTAAGCAACGGAGAAGAATCCACGAAATAAATGAATTCATGTTATTCTAGCACAATATTTGTTCTTTCAATATTTAAGTTTAGAAATGGGTAATATTGTATAAAAACTAAAAAAAGACTGAACATCTATTTCATTCTAGTATGGGACATGGTAACAGTAAACATCCATGACCCTACCAGTAGATATCACAGTGTTGTTATCATGGGTTTTTATCAGTATAAAATGATTTGGTATAATTTCACTGTGTGAATTTTATCATGATAATTTCCAGAGTGTTCCTCAATAAATACATTTAAAAATCAACTGATCACAACAATGCATAATATAACATCCAATTGTAATGAGATGGTGGAGAAGATTTGTAATCAATTACAAACGTTTGAAACTTTCCGTTATTGGAATTAGAGACTGTAATTGATTAGTCTCTTTTGGTAGATATGTACTTTGAACGGACAGCGTCGATATTTTCATCAGTAACAAGCATTTCTGAGCAGAAGTGGATAGTCATTAGCAATAAAATTCAACTGGTGCGTTTTGTCATATTTGTATCTCGTCAGCTGGTTGCATCTACACCTTAGTGCTGATGTAAATGCTGAGAATGAAACCCTGAAACTTTTATCTTAAGATGGAAAGGAATTGTTCATCGAGTTATTGAGCCTAAATAACCCTTAACCCGTGCAAGTATGTCCTGATGAACAATCCTATATGGAATGAAACATACGTCCTTAATTCCATGGCTAATTAAATTACCCAATACGCCATAACTTTCGACTAAAGGCTATTTTATATTCATTTGAAAGGAATGAACTTGTGGTGATAGAGACTTCATAATTATAGTTTTTCATAAAACCAAGAAAATATCCAAATAAGAAACTAATCAACTCGGAAGACTTTGTTTTCATTCACAAATATAAACAAATAATCATAATTAATTAAATGATAAAGATTATGTTTATTGCTAAGATCATAACGGAATGATTCCATCTATTGTTAATACTACTGAAATCTTACCAATAACGCCTAACTGAAACTGCTTTTTCTTTAGTTCGCGTGATATTTGATCATTTAGTCCACTTATTACTCATGCACTTGAAGACCGTATTTTCGGTGTACTATATTATGAGTTATACTTGAATATCAAGTTTTCTTTTTCTCTACCTTTTTCTTTTCCTTCTGTATTAGTGATTAATTGTTCAAGTATTATATCAGATATAGAGCTTATTCAAATTCAGATGGATATTGGCTAGCAGTGGAATCGAGGACCCGAGTTTCGTCTTATTGGGGACTCGTCAACTGTATGTACCTGCTTTACAGAGTTGATGTTCATTCTAAAACTCAAACTGAGAAACATTCACTTCAAACATCATCTCGTTATCTACTTAGCTACTGAGTCGTGATAGCCACTTGCTTGTGTAATAGGGTGAAGTTTTAAATTCACTTGGTGTTTACTTGTATCTAGCCACTGTTATTTAGGACTGCAATTGATCAGTCTCTATTTGACATGTGTGCAACCTGTGCGAATCGCCTCGATATTATCTTAAGCCACAAACTTTATAAGCAAAGATAACATATAAAATCGGAAACTACTTATTTGTAAACTGGGAAATTTATGAGAAAATTCATAGATTATAATGTTCAATTCAATATAATAGAAAAGATCATATATGGTAAATTAATTGGCTTTCATTGTTACTAATCAAGTAGGTTCTTTCAACTTCTTTGTTACTTCACCAAAATCGAGGAAAAACAATCTCTACAGTATCTTTATAGAAGATCATCAGTTTGACTAAACATGGAATGGTCAGTTTGAAATAAAAGAAAAGTAGAGTGATATCTGATTTCAATGATTTTACAATATAAATAAAAACATATGCTTATTTGTATTTTATTGGATTGAAGTCTATGTGTAAATGTCAATAATTACTTCAAACACATAGACTAATTATAATCAAAGATGGATATTGGCTAGCAGTGGAATCAAGGATGGGCGTTTCGTCCTATTTGGTACTCATCGACTGGATGAACCTGTATCTCACAGTTGATATCCTGAACTCCACTGCTAATCACTATCCATCTTTGCTTATAATGCTAGTGAATTAAAGGCAATATCAAGGAAGTTCGCATAGGACGCACATATGCCAATAACAGACTGATCAATTGCAGTCCGAATATATCAATGGGAAGTTGCAATTAAACAACAACAAGTTAATTTATTCCAGTTCCATTTTCTTGTTATTTGTGTGAAATAGATTTCCAATTATTCATAAATAAACGTTACCGTTAATTAACTGGGTGAAAAGTTTTGTTAATTTGAACGATTTATTCGGTTCTTAAGCTATTCTGGTAACCCGCAAGATAGAACTACACAGCGACCTAAACTCGGGAGAAAAGGCGCAAAATAGGCGGAAAACATTTTACTCCAAAGGTTCATTTTTGTACAGAGAAACACGGGTATTTATAGATGTTAACAATTGTTAAATCAACATCATATTTTGGCCAATCCGCTAAAAAACCTATTATGCTACTGACCAATAGTATCACGCCACGTTGACATTCTAGAAAGCTCCATCATGCTCTGATTGTCTAGGACTCTTTGGCTCCTTTAGGGCCTCTGCAGGCTCTATCGCAGTTCTCAGAAAGCCGACTCAACACTGGGAAACCTCAATTCATAATTGTATATTTACAAAACAAAACAGGTCAACTCTTCCAAGAAAAATTTTATATTTAAACTTATTTTCTTCAGAAAAAAACAAACATTCAAAAAGTTTGAAAAAGTACAAAATGTCATTTAATCCATTTCATTAAAACAACAGTAGA